GGCGAGGAGGCCTGCTTAGAGATACTTACAGGATCAGATAGAGCTGCCTTTTCCTGGGCCTGGAGAGCACCTTGTTGCTGAGGTTGGGCAGGCTGCTGGTGGTGCTGATGACCCTGGTGGTGGCGTTGCTGCTGCTGGTGCCGGCGTGCCTGGCCTTTCTTCCTTTGACGCTGTCCCGACCCTCTGTTCGCCTGCCTGTGGACCCTGCCACCTTGAACACCTTGGTGGTGACGTCGTCCTCTCCTGCCTTGCCCGCTGCCGCCAGGCTGCTGCCTTACTTCACGCGCCACGAGCTGCAGCGCCTCATCCACCGGCAGCACTACAACCATGGCTTTCTTGGTAGACATTTCCTGTACGACAGAGAGAACAGATAATCAGAAACTGAAGGGGAGTGTTGTAAGTGAGACGACTTTGACGCTCGTATCCTAATGTGCCCTAACCCAACTTGCAGCCACGTTATGGTCACACCGCAAAGGTGTGTGATTTCAACAAAAAAGGCATATCTATCTGGTGCAAAAGTAACAAACTCAACAGAAAACAACGCCAAAATAGAGAAAAGCTCTTGTTTAGCATAGAGATAAATACCGTTTTTCTTCAAAGGCAGGAAGACGATGCACAAACGATCACGAACTCTGCAGATAAGAAAGTGGCGGTTACATTTGACGTTGGCGCTGCGGACGATGTTACCAACGTAACAGCAACGTATCAGATTTGAAAATTTCAGACTAACCTTTTTGTTTCCAAACTTCCGTCCCTACTTACTGTTTCAAGAGTAAGTTACAAGCTGCATATTCAATAAGTTTTGCAATATTGAAGATAGTACACGGTGCTACTCAAAGGCAGCCCGGGGAGGGGAAAAGTTAACGACACTCCATAGGCCGATAACTAGAGTACTCGGTGCCGCACTGAGGCAGCCCGGGAAAGGGGTACCGCTTTGAAGCAGACCCTAGAGTACACGGTGCCGCACAAAGGCAGCCCGGGGAGGGGAAAGGTTAAACGACACTGCGTTTCCACAGGCCGAAAACCAGAGTACTCGGTGCCGCTCAGAGGCAGCCCGGAAGAGGGGGACACTACTATGCAGCAGGTCCTAGAGTACACGGTGCTGCACTGAGGCAGCCCGGGGAGAGGAAAAGTTAAGCGACACTGCGTTTCCACAGGCCGAAAACCAGAGTACTCGGCGCAGCACAGAGGCAGCCCGGAAAAGCAACTCTTACCGCACGCCGCATCTATCTACAGAATGCGTTTACGGAGGATGTTCCTCACGCCTGCTTCGCGGGCGATGAAGCCCGGACACTTTCGTATGTCAGTCATTCTGTTCAAACTAAACTCGGGGTCTAGCAGAAGGCCCTCCCAGGACTTTACGCGAGACATGGCTACATAGATAAGCCCCACTTGGAAGTCCCTCTGGCCGACACTGACGACGGCCCGCTCGACCGTTAGGCCCTGCGCCTTGTGCACAGTGATGGCCCAGGCCAGAGCGAGGGGGAACTGCTCGCGAGTGCAGTGGGTTCCCTTGTTGTCATCCCAACCGCGCACCTGCGTGGGGATGGGGACCGTGCCGTCGGGCATGGTCGGCCCGCTGTACTTGTCGAACCTCACCATCACGGCGACGGGGAGGTCGTCAGGAGGGGACTTGTCGGGGCTGTAGATGATGTCCACCACGGTACCCGTAGCGCCATTCACCAACCCGGCTGCCAACCATAAGTTGCTGCGCAGCATGACGCGAGAGCCCTTCGCCAGGTACACGACGGGCTCGAGGCCCTGGGCACAGTCAGCACTGGCCGCCTTGGCCTTGGCGTTGTTGTGCCGCGCGGCGATGCGCGCCACGGGCTGGTCGAGCTCCACGAGCTTGGCGGTGTTATGGGCGGCCACCTCACCGCGCGTGGTGTACACGTGCAGGGCGTCGTTGAACTGCTCCCGCTCGGCGGCGGGGACGTTCAATCGGAAACGCGACGAGAACCTGTTGTAGTCCTCCTCGGTGGAGGTCCCGACGGACAGGCGGTCCAACGCGTCACGGAAAGTGGCATCTGCCTGACGCTGAGACACGGTTAAAACTATAGACTTTTCGAAAGCCTGGTACACCAGTCTACCCCGATGTACGTCCGCCGTGTCCCCTGTGGTGGCGTAGAGAGGCGGGTCACAGACCGGTGGCAGTTGCCGGACGTCGCCACAGAGGTACACGAAGAAGTTCGAGAATGCATCATCGCATTCCGGCTTGGCCTCGCGCAGGCGCTGCTCAAGCCAACCTAGGAGTTTACACCCAATCATCGAAAATTCATCAATAAAAATGAAATTGACAGGTTCCATGTCGTCCTGGAACTTGCGCAACGTCGCGCCCTCTAGGGGCTTGAACTGCTGCCGGGGAAATATTTTGCACAAAGAATGAATTGTGGTGCACCCCATTCCAAGGACAGTGGCAGCGGCCGCTGTTGGGGTCATGATCTTGACAGACTTTGGCCCCAACTGCTCCCTTGCCATGGCCACGCACTTCTTGATGACGGTGCTCTTACCACACCCAGCCTTGCCTTGGATAATGACACGCCTGACCACGGGCGGGCCGGGGGGCGCATCTCCAGCTTTCACCGAGTCGATCTGGGTCTGCACCAAGTCGATCAGCTTTTGCTGCTCCGCCGTGTAGACGACGTCGTCCACCACGACCTCCTCCTCAGGCTCCAGGTTGGCCGTCGCCCTGTTTCTGGACACAAAGTCCCGCAGAGCAGCGTGGTCCCCGTATGCCTGTGAGGATGCATGCCAGTCATTAGCCAAGTCCATCTCGCGCCGGCCGAGCTCGACCTGCTCGACCACCCCGTGAGGACCCCTCCTGGCCACGGCCATCCACTCCTCCATGCCCTCCTCGTCCTGTTCCTCAGGCTCGGGCTCCTCGAAGAGATCGTCCTCGGCGGCCGCATCTGCGGCTGCCTCCTGTAGGGCGTTCTCCAGGGCCACCTCGGGGACGAGCCCGTGGTGCTCGAAGGCTTCCTTCCAGGTGCCTGGCCCCTTAGCCTCCGCCTCTGTCCGCCAAGCTGTGTGCAGCAGGACTTGGACTCGGTAGTAGGCCTCGTCACGGTCGTCGTTGCCCGTCAGCTTTACGCGCGGGAAGACACGGACTATAGCCTCCCTCCTGGCCTGCACCCATCTCCCTCTACTCCAAGACCAACCTTTGGCAACCTGGAACAGTGTCAAGTCGTTAACACGGGGGTCATTGCGAGCTTGGTACTTCAAAACGAAAGCCGGGAATGTCGCATCAGCAGCGTCATCGCCCTCGCCCCCGTTCTGGTCACCCTCGGCTTGACCCTCGGCCTCCCCGCCGACATGGGCGGCGGCTGCCGCACCCTCCTCCCCGGCCTCGGCCATGCCTGGAGGGGGGTCGTCGGCCTCACCGTCGTCGCGGCGAGGGTTTTCCTCGCGGAGTGGAACCCAAGGGTTCTTGTTCAGGCTCACGACATGGAACGAGCGTGAGGAGTCGTATAAGGGCTGACCGGTCAGAATGTGGCAGACTTCCTGGGCGGAGTAGTCACGCTCCGACACGGTCTTCATGAGGAGCTTCTGGATGACAGACCTGGCCGAGTCGTCCTCGCCACTCGCCTCTAGGACAGCTTTCACCAGCTCCGCACAGGGCTGCGACCTGGGCTCGCCCTTGGCTGTGTACTTTGCAATGTACCTGAGAATGAAACCTAGAGACACAATGGGTGTAGCGTCCATGTTAGCTCTCCACAATGCAATCACCCATTCCATATACTTGTTGAGGAGACTGTCGTTGCGAGCAGTAACAAGTTCCCAAAGGCCTTTATCGTTTTCGAAGAGCCTTGTGATCGGCTCCTCCTGAAAAGGAAATTTAAACCTACAGACTGGCTGGCCAGTGGCCTTGTCGACTCGCTGGCAGTAACCATTAGAACACTTGTGCCTTTGCACCCGGTTCAACAGTTCGCCAAGGTCACGACCACGAATCGCCTCATCTACCTGGCTGAACTTTTTCCTGCACGGGTGGACGTCAGCAGGAGGCAGGTCCTTGCCTGGATTCATGGTCGACACCAACCCGTCAAAGTAACGGATGACGGCGTCTAGGTGCTCCTGCGAGGCCCCCTGTAGGTTGCTCACATCTGGTGCATTATTATGCCACAAAATTGCATGTACATGGGCGGACCCGCGATGTTGATACTCAAAGCGGAACCAATGATCAACCAAGTCGTACTTCAGTTTGTACGTATGCTTAATGAAATGCGTCGCCCTAACCGTAAAGAAGGTGTCCGCTATGAGCGGATTCTCACTAAGTAATTTGGCGCGCCGCGCGTCCGTCATAGCGTTCACGTCCTCCCCGGGGGCTAGCAACCGAAATAAGTCCTCCCAGTGAAGGTCAGCAGCACTGAGCGTGAGGAAAAGTGTGGGTATACCCAGCTGGTCGACCATGTCCAGCAACTCACCACAACGCGCGTGCCAGAACTGCCTAGTTCCGTGCAGTTTGTTACCATGGTACAAAGCCTGCTTCAGAACATTCCTCCTGTTGGTCTGCAGTGCTCGCCGGAGGTCAGCAGCAGTCATGTCCCGGTACTGAGGGTTGTTCCTGACAAACACCCGCCCGTTTGTCAAGGCATTCCACCGCATCATAGAGTTCAGGGCAAAAAACCTGAAAGTGGGATGGCAAGCGAAACGCCTATCAGAGTACTCCATTAGGTACTTGAAATACTCAGCCACGTTGACCTTTGTGGGCCGACCACTCCGCAGGTCAGCTGTCCCATGGCACAAGAGGGTCGGAAAGGCCATACTCAAATACCCCGCCGTGGTGAACTCATTCACAGCCTGATGGCCAATGGTCGGCCAGTCCGCGACAGTGGCCTCCACCTGGTCGCCGTTGTGCACGGGCCGCACCAGAGGCATGCAGGTCACGTGGATGCCGGCCTCCGTCTCCTCCTGCTGGGGCCCCTCTGCTGGGCCGCCGGCCGGTGCTGGAGCGGGTGCAGGTGGCGCAGCTGCGGCGCCAGGTGCAGCGGGTGCAGGTTGGGCAGCAGCTGCAGGTGGGCGTTCATCTATGCCCTGCACCTGCGCGAACACATCACCATCAGCAGGGAGATCGTTCAAGTTCTCCTCCGATATTTGAATATCACGGTAGTTGCGGTTGTTCGCCTTCAGCCACACGAGTGCACGCCGGACGTAGCCCGCTCGCACTTTGAAGTCCACTTGGCCCTCAGCGCCCTGGGTGCGGACCGTGATGACGGAGGACAGGTCGGCCAGGCGGTGCGGCAGCGCGGAGGCCAACTGCTGCACGTCCTGTGGAAAATTAATAATGTTTCCTGAGTACCCGTACTGGCCGCCCCTCACCTTGTACACAGAGACCACGGGATGTACACGAGCAATCAGCTGCTGCTCAATGTAAGTGAGACCCTGCAGTTCTGGAGGAACCTCCCCCGGGTCCATGAAGTTAGTGGCAGAGAACTTCTTGTGGCACTCATTGTTCGCACAGGTGGGCGCCAGCTTCCCGTCCACCCGCATGACGCTCCGGTGACACTTGTCACACTCCCTAATGCGCAGCCCCGCGATGGTGGCGTCAAAGAGCTCCTCAAGGGTGGCCGGGCGCGCGACAGGGGCTGCGACAGGAGCGGCAGCAGCACCGGGCTGGCCGGGCGCGGCCGGCGCGGCCGGCGCGGCCGGCGCGGCGGCATCGTCAGCCGCTGCAGCGCCGGCAGCGTGGGCAGCGCCTTCCTCCGGGACGTCGAAGTTGACGGTGCGGGCGCGCAGCACCCGCTGCAGGCGGTTGTGCACGGCCCGCTCCGGAGTCTGGACCTGCCGGACCTCGGCCATGTGGGCGGCGGCCTGCACGCGGTGAGCAGCTGCAGCCTGTGGGGTCTGTAACACACGAGCATTAGCGCGACGGTCGGCGTCGAGGGCGCGCCTCTCGTCGCGGGTCTCCTGGTCCTCCTGCTCGCGGACAACGGCATGCCGGTCTGCGTCGTCCGCACGGCGCTGCTCGGCCTCCTCCGGGGTGGCGGTCTGGCGAGCTAGAGCACGTCGCCCGGCGTCCTCGG